CGCCCAAACTGACCCATAAGCAGCTGAGGAGGGGAAGGAAAGGGTCTGAGGCTATGAGGAATAGTGGGAGTTGAAGTCCAAACCACCTGGAGTGCCCAAACTGGCCCATAAGCAGCTGAGGAGGGGAAGGAAAGGGTCTGAGGCTATGAGGAATGGTGGGAAGATGAAGTCCAAACCACCTGGAGGGCCTAAATTGGCCCATAAGTGTCTGGCTGTGATGAATGGTGGGAGTTGAAGTCCAAACCACCTGAAGGGCCCAAATTGGCCCATAAGCGGCTGAGGAGGGGAAGGAAAGGGTCTGAGGCTATGAGGAAAGGTGGGAGATGAAGTCCAAACCACCTGGAGGGCCCAAATTGGCCCATAAGCGGCTGAGGGGGGAAGGAGGGGGTCTGAAACTATGAAGAATGGTGGGAGTTGAAGTCCAAACCACCTGGAGGGCCCAAGTTGGCCCATTCCTGGTCTAGATGCACCCTATTCTCTCCCTTTCCCTTCCACCCTGGGCGAGAGTCTGCGTCGCCCCCCATGGTCCATCCCATCTTTTTGCTCTGAGCTTCCGAGAAACTCCTTGAAATTTTGGCGGGAACGTTCCAGAAGCCCCAAAGGGGGGCGCCTTCCCCTTCTCTCCCACTCTCCGCCTCGCCATGGCCGTATTCCTTCTGTGTCCATCAGTATTAATCGTGTCCACGGGAAAGAGACGCTCAAGCGACTTTAGGCGTCTTTACATCGATTCCCAAACTCTAGACCTCAAATCGTAGAAGCCCTGGGTGGCTTGGCCAACGCTCGGGAATTCTGGGAGGTGGAGTCTAAAATATCTGGGGAGGGGGGCAACTTTTGGGAACCACTGATACTGTAGAATTAATGTATTTTGGTACATAATTTTGTTTGTTTGTTTGTTTACTTCGTTTATGTACCGCTTTTCTCCCCCAGGGCACACAAAGCTGTTTCCAACATATTTCTCTGAAGATGCCAGCCACAGATGCAGGCGAAACGTCAGGAAAGAATGCTACTGGGACATGGCCATCTAGCCCGAAATATTTACAGCAACCCAATGATTCCGGCCATGAAAGCCTTCGACAACAAATCCTAGAATTCCATAGCATTGAGCCATGGCTATTGAAGGGGTGCTACTTGAATTCTGTGATGTACATGCGCCCCTTTAGGAGACAAGTTAGAAAATGAGGTGTTTCTTGGGGGTCCTTCCACGCAGCCCTATATCCCAGAATATCAAGGTAGAAAGCCCCACCATATCTGCTTTGTACTGGGTTATCTGAGTCCACACTGCCATATATTCCGGTTCAAAGCAGAAAATGTGGGATTTTAGCCCTATATGCTGGAATATCAAAACAGAAAACGCCACCATATCTGCTTTGAATTGGGTTATCTAAGTCCACACTGCCATATATTCCAGTTCAAAGCAGAAAATGTGGGATTTCAGCCCTCTATCCCAGAATATCAAGGCAGAAAACCCCACCATATCTGCTTTGAACAGGGCTATCTGAGTCCACCCTGCCATATATTCCAGTTCAAAGCAGAGAATATGGGATTTTATTCAGCTGTGTGACAGGGGCCTGAGTGAAGGCGGCGTCCCGGTGAACCAGGGAGAGCAAGAGCCAAACCCAGGAGACGGGCTCTGCAACAGGAAGAGAGATGGCGAGAGAAGAGGGAGGGAGAGGCGGCAGAAAGCTAGAGGGAGAGGGAGAGATGGAGGGAGGGAAAAGAGATTGAAAGAGAGCGGGAGAGAGACGTGTTTGCGAGGCTCTTGGAGGAGAGCAGCCTTCCGCCCGCATCCTGGCTCGGAACAGGAGCTGTTGCTGAACTTGAGCCCGTTTCAGGACTTTGCGAAGGAGGCTGGCTGCTTTGCCACGGCCGCGCGTGGCGCCTTCTCCCCACTAGTATTCGCGCCCTCCTGACAGCTGCTCTTCCTTCCGGGAGCGGAGGCGCGGCGGGAGCATCCTCCTCTTGCCTGGCAGGCTTTCCCTCCTCTCGGGCCCTTCATTTGTGGACGGGGGGGGGGGGGAGTCCTTTTGACGCAACAGCTGGCCTCCCTCCTTCCCTCCTCGCACAGCAGGAGCGCCTTGTCCTCCTTCTTCCCTTTCTACTCCTCCTTTCTATAAATCAAGACAGCCGGCTTGTCGCTTTCTCTGCTATTTCCCCTTCTCTTCCTCCTCTCTCTCGCTCTCCTTCAAGCAGCTTTCCTTCTCTTCGATTTTTCGGTCTATATGGCCATGTTCTAGAAGCATTCTCTCCTGACATTTCGCCTGCATCTGTGGCAAGCATCCTCAGAGGTTGTGAGGTCCTTGTCATTTCTGGAAGTCACGGAGTCCCACTCGGAGGCGAAGGAGAGCAACGGCTCCGTGGCGTGTATTGCTCAGCCTTTCTCCAGTCTCTCTCCAAAGTTTGGCTTGACTCTGAAGATGGGAAGGGTCTCTGGAGCAGAGGGGCGATTTGGGTGGCTCTGAGGGGAAAGGGACGCGCGGGAAAGCCTCTCTCAGAAAGAGCGGGGGGGGGAGGCTTTATCTCCCCATCCTTCCTACACTCCCTTCCTTCCTTCCCTCCCTTCCCCTTCTCCCTCCTTCAAGCAGCTTTGCTTGCCATTTGTGGAGGTCCCTGGGTCCCATTCGGAGGGGAAAGAGAGCAACAGCTTGGAGCTTTCTCTCCGAGTCAGAGGTCCAAAGTTTGGCTTGACCCCGAGGATGGAAAGGGTCTCCGAAGCAGGGAGGCCGCTTGGCTGCCTCTGAGGGCAAGGGGCGCGCGGGGAAGTCACTCACAGTGAGGGAAGAGGGGGGTCCATTTCTCTGCCTTTCCTTTCTACTCCCTTCCTTCCTTCCTTCCTTCCCTCCCTCCCTCCCCCCCTCCCCCTTCTCCCTCCTTCAAGCAGCTTTCCTTGTCCTTTGTGGAGGTCCCTGGGTCCCACTCGGAGGCCAAAGAGAGCAATAGCTCCGGGGCGTGTATTGCTCTGTCTCTGTCCAAAGTTTGGCTTAACCCCTGAGGGAGAAAGGGTCTGTGAAGCGGTGAGGCACTTTGGCTGCCTCTGAGAGGGAAAAAGACGCGCGGGGAAGCCTCTCTCAGTGAAGGGAGGAGGGCTTTCTCTCCTCTTCCCTTTATCTCTCCAAAGTTTGGCTTGGTTTTGATTCAGCCTGAGGAAGGAAAGGGTCTCTGACCAGCGAGGAGGTTTGGTTGCCTCTGGGGGAAAGAGACACGCGGGAAGCCTCTCTCAGTGAAGGGGGGGGGGGAGGCTTTCTCTCCTCTCCCTTCTATCTCCCCAAAGTTTGGCTTGGTTTTGATTCAGCCTGAGAAAGAAAAAGGTCTCTGGCGCAGCGAGGCGGTTTGGTTGCCTTGGAGGGGAAAGAGACACGCGGGGAAGCCTCTCTCAATGAAGGAAGGGCCCCCGTTTCTCTCCCCTTCCTTCCTCCCGAGTTGTATTTGCCCGGAGCCTTCTCTCCTAGTCATTCGTGGCTCCAAAGTTTGGCTTGCCCCTGAGGAAGAAACGGGTCTCTGAAGCGGAGAGGCGGATTGGCCGCCTCTGTGGGAAAGAGGCGCGTGGGGAAGTCGCTCTCAGTGCAGGAGTGGGTGGGGGGTGCTTTCTCTCCCTTGTGGGGGGGCTTTCTCTTCCCTTCCTTCCTCCCTTCAATCCCACACTCCTTCCTTCCTTCCCTCCCTCCCTCCTTTCGCAAGGTGGCCCCCGCAGCCGCCCTCTTCCTGCCCCGCTCTCTTTCCTCCCTCCTCTTGCTTCTCCTTCGCCTCAGCACCTAGAAGAGGAGGAGGAGGAGGAGGCGGAGGAGGAGGAGGCTGCTTCCTTCCCTCCTTTCTTCCTTCCTTCCCTCTTTCCCTCGTTCTCCGCCTGCATCGCAAGGGGCGCCGCGCCTCCCCCCGGTGCCTCCGCCGCCGGGATGCCATGCCCCGCAGCCACAACCACCAGGAGCCGGGCGGCGGCTCAGGCTCGGGCTCGCTCTCCGCGGGGCTCTGGCTGAAGAGCGGCAGCCGGAGCCACAGTAGCGGCAGCGGCGGCATGAAGGATGTGGAGTCCGGGCGGGGCAGGGTGCTGCTCACGGCGGCGCCTTCCCGCGGGGACGGCCTGCTCCTCCTGGGGGGCCCCAGTGGCGGCGGCGGCGGCAGCGCCGGGCTGCGGGAGGGTCGGAGAGACAAGCCCGGCAGCGCCCGCATGAGCCTCCTGGGGAAGCCGCTCTCCTACAGCGGCGGCAACAGGGGCGGCAGGGGCGGACACCCCATCTACCGGCGCAACGCCAAGTACCGGAAGCTGCAAAACTATCTCTACAACGTGCTGGAGAGGCCCCGCGGATGGGCGTTCATCTACCACGCCTTCGTGTGAGTGGAGGGGCGCTTTGGGGCCGGGAGGGCCTGGGAGGGGGGGGGCTTGCTTGACAACAGGTGGACTGGACACGGCCCCCCCCGGGAATGCCTTGAGATGGGATGGGATGCGCGCGCATCGGGCGCTGCTTTGAAAGGMGCCTTCTCCCTTGCGCTTTGTCCAGCCTGGGCGGTTGTTGCGGTTTCGAACCGGTATTTTCGCGGTGCGGAGGTGTGTGACATAAGACCTTCTAGAGCAGTGCTTCTCAACCTCTGGGTCCCCAGATGTTTTGGCCTTCAACTCCCAGAAATCCTAACTGCTGGTAAACTGGCTGGGATTTCTGGGAGTTGCAGGCCAAAACACCTGGGGACCCACAGGTTGAGAATCACTGCTCTAGAGCTTTCGTGGGAGTTTGTGGTCTGGCCGCGAGTTTGGAGCTGCTCTGGGCTCTGGGAACGTCGGAAGGTGCCTCTCTGAAATGAATACAGTGTGACATTGACTCTAACTTAGGTCTGGGCAAACTTGGGCCCTCCAGGTGTTCTGGATTTCAGCTCCCACCATTCCTAACAGCCTCAGACCCCATCTTTTGACTTCAGGCCCCTTCCTTTGGCCCTCCAGGTGTTCTGGACTTCAACACCCACCATTCCTAACAGTCTCACGCCCCTTCCTTTCCCAATTGTGCCAAAGTTTGCCCATGCCTGCTCTCACTGCTATGGCTCAGTGATATGGAGTCATCAGAGTTTCTGTTTGACAAGGTATTCACCTCTTCTGTCTCAAAGTCCTAAATTACAACTCCACTGATTCCACAGCATTCAGCCATATCAGTTCAAGACATCCTCTCCACAGGATGCCTATCCTGAAGGGTGCTTTCGCTCATCATCAAGGCACTGGAGCAGTGGTTCTCAACCTGTGGTCTGTGGACCACCAATGGTCTGCAAGAATGAAAATATGGTCTGCAGCCTCACCATTTCTGCATTGTTGCCTCAAAACCACGCGGCGAGAGTGACTGGTCTCATGAAACCTTCAGGAGGGGAGAGGCTGACTACCCATGAAAGATTACTACTACCGCATCAGCTCTAGATTATAAATATGGTTTTCTATGGGTGAGCACATGGCAACTACTGGATGGCGTATGTTCTGTGTCAGAAACTAGAGCTGATGTGGTCCATCCAATGCTATTTTCTGAATCAGCACCCCAAACCACCAAACCAAATCTAAAGTTGACCAAAAACTGATTTGTAACCTTTTTGGTACTAAGGAGAGTGGTCCCTGGTCAAAGAAAAGGTTGGTAACCACTGCACTGGAGGGACCTTTGAACCCATTCCCCCCCCCCCCCCTGTGCATGGCAGCAAAGGGAAGAGTGCCATGAAAACCCAAACCTGTGCTGATGTTTCATTCAAAGTACAGAATAATTTCTCAACCAAGGCATTCAGTGCCTGTTTAAGATCCATTGTACTTAGTGGATTTTTTCCCCTCAGAAGTTTCCCTGCAGCATCTGGAAAGAAGAAGCTTGTTTGAATACACAACAGATTATCTCCAAGTTTAAACGTACACTGCTTGTGTTATGTGTGAAAGCACCCTTCTTTAGTCATCATTTCTTATCACAATGAAAGAAAAGACATTTAAATGTGGAAAGAGTAGAGGTTAAGGGGAGGTTTTGTTTTTGGTTTAGTTTAATTACAGGTGTTTTGTGGGTACAATATACCCAACTGTTATGCAGGTGAAAATATGGAATATGGAGTCATATTAACTTCCACTGAGAAGTGTGTCAGGCTGGATTTGAATGGTCAGAAATCTGTGGAGTGTGAAAGTCTTTTCCTATTTGAAAATCCTCATGGCCAGGTGTTGAAAATTGGTAGTAAATGAGTTGATAATAAAAGTGGCTGTGGCAGGACATCCCTTAAGCTTTCCCGAGAGTTGAACAAGCAGGATGTTTGTGTTACATCATTCCGAAAGTAGAGAGAGGGAACATATTTGCTATCTATTAGATGTATTGGCAATCTCAAGGATGCATTGGCTAAGAGTGGTTGCCGCACTTGGATCTCAAATTATTTAATGAGTTGGCTCCAGGGTAGCATATTGTTGGAGGAAAATTGCAGAGATGTAAAATTGTTGTAGAATCCAAAACTGTCATGTGAGTAGTGATAGCAAATTTTATTTGTATCTATGGAAATTGGAAGGGGAGGAAAATGTGATTGAGTATTTAAGCTTTTTATGCTCATGTTGTTATTCATTGCCTATATAGCAATCTTAATGTTCATACAAGTCTTACATTATTGCTTCTAATGCACACAATATTTATTTTGGGTTGCTGTGAGTTTTCAGAGTTGTATGATCATGTTCCAGAAGCATTCTCTCCTGATGTTTTGCCCACTTCAATGACAGGCATCCTCGGAGGTTGTGAGGTCTGTTGGAAACTAGGCAAGTGGGGTTTATATATCCATGGTGGGAGAAAGAACTCTTGTCTGTTGGAGGCAAGTGTGAACAGAGGCGGCCCTAAGTAATTTTCAACAGTAAGCAAACAGTATTTTGGTCCCCCCCCCCCAACCAATCACTGATATATATTTTCTGTTCGTCGTGGGAGTTCTGTGTGCCATATTTGGTTCAATTCCATCATTGGTGGAGTTCAGAATGCTCTTTGATTGTAGGTGAACTATACATCCCAGTAACTACAACTCGCATATGTCAAGGTCTATTTTCCCCCAAGAGCGCCTCTGGGCAAAATCAACTATATTGCAAATGCTTACTTTGCATAATGGGTTGAGCCCCTGAGTGTGAATGTTGCAATTGGCCAGCTTGATTAGCATTGAATGGCCTTGCTTCTGGAACATGGCCATACATCCCGGAAAACTCACAGCAACCCAGGGATTCCGTCCATGAAAGCCTTCGACAACACAATATTTCTTTTTTCACAATAGTTATAAATAGCCAATAGGTGGGGGATCCTGGTTGTTCAATACCTATGTTAGGGGTTCAACAGCCTTACAAGGTTTCACAGCCCTGTGAACTAGGCCATAGGACTATCATCACTTTGCATACGAAGGCAATATGACTATTGCTAGACTTACTTGAAAGCAAATGTTGTCAACACATTTCCATAATCCTTATAGCCACCCTATACATTGAGTATTATTACCCTAATTTCACATAATCAATGCTCTATTGATTCAAAATAAGATTCAAAATAGTGAAATCCTTGTTTACAGCTCAGGGTTCTTCCACACAGCCATATAACCCAGACTACAAAGGGAGAAAATCCCACAAAATCTGCTTTGAACTGGGTTATCTGAACCTACACTGCCATATATTCCAGTTCAAAACCTGTGGGATTTTATTCAGCTGTGTGGAAGGGACCTCTGTTGTTGTGCTGTACCAGTTCTCAGCTTAGTGACTAGTCCTTTGGCAGACTAGGCTGTGGTTTGAAGTAAGGGCTTGCCATCTCATTGGAGTTTAAATGTTTGGATCCTATGGTACATAAGCTCCCTGTCTCCATTCAATCAGTTCTACATTTCTCAATACAATAGATTGACTCCTGTTTACTAGGGATCAATTGGTTCACCTGAAGCAGACCCAGTGAGCATATATTAAAGTGAGCCTTTGGATCAAACATCTGTCTACCCAATCCCATTGAAGACTGACATTTTAGCACAGTCACATTCCAGTTCTCTGCCATCCCTGTAAAGGGCACCACTCAAAGCACACTTGAGTCCCATTGATTTCTGCAGGAAATATAATTAGGCACATGTACTTAATTACAATGCAGATGGTGGCTAAACATATTTCAGCTGTCCAATGGATATAATTGAACCAAACAAGTGCTTCCAGCTCCCATTAATTTTGATGGCAAAAGGGTTAAGAAGGGTTAAAAGTGGCTCAGATATGCACATTGCATGAGAACAATTACTCATAATATGCTTGTAGTGCACAATATTGCTATCTCTCCTTAATATGTTAATTTCATTAAATCATAACACCTGATGCCTGACACTAAACAGCATACTGAAAAGTAATTCATAGTTGCTTCCACATTCCCGGTATGATTAATTAATAAAGTATGCAGTGTGGCAGTTACAAGCAGCACAGTTTCTTCCATGACTAGTCCAACCTTTCTTCAGGGTCACAAATTATATGTGGGGCCCTGTGCCTGTGTAAATGTGTTCTACAATTGCTTCAGAAAATGATTCCATAAATAATCATGCAAAATCACAAGGAGTCCCCCTGGGCTGCTCTTCTGTTTTGAAGTGTGTTTGGCCTGGTTGTTTCTGTGTCACATATAAAGAGAAAGATGATTAATTCAATGCCTTGATAGAACAACAAAGAAGCAAAAGAAAGAGAAACAAGTGGAAAATATGCACAAGTGATGTTAAAAAAAGTTCAGTTTTATTCTTAAAATCCAGAACATTTTTGATCAATTCTTTCAGCTCAGAAATTTTCCATTTCTAACCTCACAAATAGCCAAAGCTGGTCTGGAATATTTAAGAGTATGTATGTATGTATTTACGACATTTATATGCTGCCCTTCTCACCTCAAAGGGGAGTTAGAGTGGCATACAAGTAATATGTACATACAATATATTATATTATAGCCATAGCACAATATTAGTATTATATATTACTATATTGTGCTATACCATTATATTGTAATATTATTAGTAATATTACATGTAATATGAAATATATAATTATAATATCATAGTATTATTATTAGTGTTATATTGTATTGCATTATAATATTATTAATATTATATGTATATACAATATATTATATTATGTTATATTATTAGCACAGTGCAGGAGACAAGGTGGAACTATCTTCCTGGCCCCTCTCTTCACTCTGGTCCCAGAGCAGCAGTTGGTGCTGCGGAGAGGGGCTCCCAACTGATGACACAGGAAACAAGATGGAGCTTCTTCCTGGCCCTCTCTTCACTCTGGTCCCAGAGCAGCAGTTCTAAGTATGGTGATGTTCTAAGCCTTTGAATATCTAGTTTCCCTCTAATGTTTTTCTGAAGAGTATTGT